AGCCGCTACTTTATAGTAGAAGCGACAACGCCGCTTCGTCTAAAATATTTTAGGCGTGTAGGTCATATTGACTTATACATAGTGTGGAATTTTCAGGTTGATCCGTTGAATAGTTTGCCAGAAACGGCTAATTAACGCTCATCATGAAAAGCCCTGTATATGTCATTCCTGACGACCTAATCGACAAGAAAAATATCACGCTATAGTTTCCTAGGCTGTCTGAGGTTGTGGAAATAAGATGGAGATTTTTAAAATTGTATCATCGGAAAGGAATGTACACATCTGAAAGATTCAGATACTCCAACAAAAAAAAAAAAAAGAACACCGTGTCAAAATGTTTGTCATAAGACGAGGTGGAAATGAAGTGAAAACTTTTATATCATATTGATTTTATAATGTAATGGATTGATGGATTTTATTCGATTGAAAGTTTGTGTAATACTTTTTGGAGTATTTGGAGTGTTAATAAAAGCATGTTTCATGAAATATTTTACACTACCAATTGATTATTTTATATTTTTATGTTTTCAAAATATCGATTAACTGAGTTGTGATTTCCATCCCATTTCCCATCCCATTAGACGGCCTGGAAAACTACGGTGTGATGTGTTTCTTATCGATTCGGGCATCAGGACTAACATATCTCAATCTTGTAGGTGTACAAATTCAATTTTTGATGATTTTTTTTAAGGTTTCCACCTCTTTAGACGACCTGGAACACTATGACGTGATGTTTTTCTTCTGGATTCGGCCATCAGGAATTACCTATCCCAGTTTGATATGTGTACAAAGTCGATATGTCATGTTACGAATTTTATAAATATGTCCATCCCATTTTCACCCCTAATTCAGTCAAAAAAGCATATCATATTTAAAAATGGTAGGTGTACAAAGTCGTTGAAAGAAAAAATAATAGTTCAATATTTCTTTCTCAGTGTGGATGTGAATAAATTCACACTCGTAATGTTTCCCTGGAAATGGCTCGGCATTCTTGGATTGATCTTCCCTTCAGTTGCTCTACTGAGTCAGGTTACGTTTTAAAAACAACGGATTTTAGGTGCCCCAGAGGAAGAAATTAAGAGGAGATAGATTCGGAGATCTAGGAGGCCATTCGACAGGATCTCTCCTTCCAATCCATTGATTGACATAATAAATATCTAACCATTGCTTTACTGGAACTACATAATGAGGAAGTGCCCTATCCTGTTGAAAATGTAATAAAAATGTAATAACTACCGTGTTGGTAGTTGGGAAAGATTACACAACACAACAAAGTTTTTGTTTCGGGGTTGAAATTAGATGATTTTAATGTATTTCCACGTGTTAAAACCGAAAGTGACCATAAAAATTATATATTAGCTCTTGTTTTCAAGATATAGTATCATTATATTATATATATGTATATTGAGTTTTCAACAAATGAAATATTTCATCACCAACAGTTGGTACACATGTTTGTTTACATAACACCCCTCTCATCAGCTGTTCTTAAGTAGTAAACATAACCTATGTGAGTTTGTCAATTGTACGCACGTGGTTGCTATTGAAATTATCGTGTGAAGTTGATTTTTAAATTAATTTAAGTGCTGATCTGAAATGCCTCGAAAGTGTGTGAATTCTGTCGATAGCTTTTGCTATATATGTGGTGAAATAACATTTAAGGCTCAGAAACG